CCAAGCAAAAATAAAGTATTCTACAGTTTTCAACTTTGTTTTTCAATAATACTGTAACCACCAGTAATTCAGAATAGTTGGATTTTTGTCGACTAAAGTACAATATCAATCACTGTAGAAACTTCAATATCATAATCTTGAGAACTCTTGCCTGAACCTTTCAGAAAGTTTGTTTTGAGTGGTGCTGACTTACATGTATATTATTTTGAATTTTCTAAAGTCAGAATGAACACAAAATGATATTATTTTAATAGTCATCTGTTCATGCCATACTTTACACATTGTGTTTTGAAATGGCAATACAAATAATAGAATTAGTGGATCAGTATTACTGCAAAATACTTTAATTTACCTGGAATTAATTTTCACTGAAAAGAAAATTTCGGCAATATTGTATGAAGTTTATTTTCACAGGTTTTTAAATATTGAATGATAAAATATAGGAAAAAGGATATTTCCACTGGATTTTATTTTCACTGATTCAATCCTTTAGTGCAAATAACAAAAATTAAATTCCATGTAAATATAATGCATTTTACATTATACATGTAGTAATTAATAATTACACGTCCAGACTGAACTGATGTATTTACCGGTAGGAAATTATCAATTTTGAAAATTGTATACACTTTCCATGTACAATAAATCTTTCTTTGGCAGCCATTTTTGCAATGAAAATGGTAGAGAGAGAATATATTTGAGAATGTTTTACCTACACAACTGAATACATTAATGCAAGAGTTTGTGAATGAAAATACAGATACTGAATAAATATAATGGAAAGCTGTGTATAAATCTAATCAACACAGTGCATCAATACGTGTATTCCACCATAGACCCTACAATAGAATACAGTGTCTATGGTTCCACAAACTGTTATATTCACTAAACATGGAGTCATTTTACATGTACACATGATTTTGAATTGAAAATAGAAGAAAAAAGCCACCTCCCTCCCAATGGGTTGAATGCATTTGGTCAGTTCGAAATATAACGATTTGTTTAAATCTTAGATAAAGGAACACCACTGTAATTGAATTACTTGTACTATAGCTATAGAGTTCTGGAAGCTACATTTGATTCAACTTTATTTTAAGCACCTAGCAAAGGTCTAACGGCAGGGCAGAGAGAAAAAAAATAGAATTAGCATACTCTCATATGTTGTGTTACATGTACATGCTTACTGTATATTTGTCACTGCTACGCTGCTGCTGCTAGAAAGTACTAGTCAAAACCTTGGAATTGTCGATGAGTTAATTATTCCTCGGCAATTTCAATGAGAGAATGATATTTATTTCATGTTTGGGTTCATTAGATGAACAGGATGGATTGCTTACTAACCTAATCAGAACTGGCATCAAAGTGAATAAAATGATATGATCCAAATAATTCTATTTTAATATAGAAGAATTTCGGATAAAATGTTGCCAGTTTTTAGACGCAAATTCAGGTTATGGCTTAACTGTTACTTTGTAATAAAAAACCCAATTTGCACCCACCCATATCAAGGTAAGTCTATCGGCATGGCTACATAACAGTTAACTTGATCTGTACAATCTGTATATTTCATTTGAAATCATTTCCATAAATTTGTACATATTTGTAAATAATTAACAAGTATTTGAATTCCAGTATTTAAAAAACAATTATATTTGTCTTTCGCCAAAACCAAAGAGTCTCCTGATGAAATGATTTTGAGGCAAAACACTGGTATTACATGTATTTCATTCACCACAAGAGTAGAAGATATAGAGTTCCCCTTAACTTGCTGGTTAATTTATACCAATATAATATAGAGAGAATGAAATTTGTAGCAGAGATTGAAAATTTATAAATAAACAAATTTGACCTTGCTTTTATTTTAATTTTCAAAAAAGCAGTGAAAAATTACTACAATATAATTGTGAATTTTATGACGGCATGAATGGGTTTTATGAAAATTGATAAAAAATTGATAAAACATTTACCCTGGAAAATCCTTTGCTGCATCCAATTCCAAAGAAGAGCCTTATGTATTTGCTATAGAAATTATTTAGTAATGCCCATTACCCACAAGTCTTTGCAGGTTTCCTTTATAGTCATTGGTTGATTTACTGACATGCATTACTACACGTGCTGTGATTGGTCAAGTTGTTGTCAACAGAAATATATATAAAACAATTAGTAAATATTTTATATAAATAAATGCATGCCTTTACAAAATTCACAGTATCATTTGTGATGTTCTTTTACTTTGACATTTTATGTAGGCAAGAATTTTTTTTTTATGGAAACTTTTGAAATCCAAGGACAAAAACTATATTTATAGACGCTGCCCCAGAAGATCCTTATGTTTTATTTAAATGCAAAGATGACGCTGTAGAACCTACAGTATATGGTATCACACATTACAAATGAGTCTTGGCTGGTTTACTTTAATCATTGGCCTGTACAGTGTATAAGTAAATACCATTCCTGCCCACAATTAGATTATCAATAAGCTATAGAGAGTGACAGAATGTATTATTAAGGTCTTCGTGAAGCACAAGGAGAAGAATTTCTTATGCACAAGAAACTATTGTTCCTTCTCTGTCTTTGAATCTAACAAGGTTTTCAAGAAAATTATGACCAATGTTCAAGTAATTATTATAAATTCGGCAATATACAATTAGTACTAAAATGTTCATTATTGTAAATTGCCGAAAAATGCAAAAAACAGCGAAATATGCGCAGGTTTACTGGATCTCTTATTAGGTGTTGTCCTTTCGCTGGTTTCATTAAGTCACATTATAATCACTTTTGTACTAGTTTCATTATAAAGTCAGAGGGTAACTGTAACCAAAACACTAATGTGTTACCTCCATGGTTCTATGAATGAATGCAACACATCCTGTATGAATACACAATATATACTTTCATTTCACCAATGCCAAATGTTTCTCCGACATTTAATCCTCTTAGACAAACAACGTTACAAAAAATGTTCAACTACATGTATATTAAAGATATCAGAATAATCATTCACTGGGTTTTTATTTTTGTTTATTTCATATTAATGAATAAATATACTGAAATAAAACCCCACTTAACATTCAAATTTAACAACAGTTTTGTTACTTTCACAAATCTGTCAAATTAATAACACAGTGAATATCTTTTAAACATAAAATCTATTAAAATTAAATCCAGTGAACAACCATAGTATATTGTTATAGAAATATGTTATATCAGAGTTATCATTTATCGCATGTACATGTACATCGCAAGCAGATTGTTTATTTATTGCAGACACTGGGTGATTTAAGCCACAACATGGTTTTATTTAAATTCACTCACATAACTTTATATAGATATACTCTAATCAACCACTTTCAGAGAAATACAATTTTAATTCTATGCGACTCGATATCATTGACAAAAATGCTTCAATCAGTTTATTTTCTTTCATCTCTTTTATTAATTTAAGACTTTGAATCTATTCAATTATTTAAATGTACAACTATGTACCTGTATATGACTTATTAATATTATTATTTACTGTTTATTTTGTTCATTCTTTATAAGGGTCATGAACTAGACTAGTTCTAGGGAACTATTTTCGTGATCCTCACTATAAACAATTTATATAAATATCTAAAAATATATACTGTGGAATACTTTATTTTCACTGGAATTAATTTTTGCTGAAAAGGCTTTTTGGGCGTTTTGCTTGGAATTTATTTTCACTGATTTTTGATGAGTTTAATGTGAAATATAGGAAAAAAAGTATATTTCACTGGATTTTATTTTCACAGAATCATCCCTTCAGCGAAAATAGCGAAAATAAATTCCAAGCAAAAATATAGTATTCTACAGTATATCTAAAATTCAAATTATAGACTTATTTACTTTAACTTTACTTTTATTTACTCATCTGTTTATATATTACATTTATTTGTATATTATTATATGTATATATGTTTATAGTGAAATAAACTTCATTCATTTCACCAGAGTGAATAAGCAATGTTACAAAACAATTGATCCAGGTCACTTAAAAATGTGTCACACATGCTGTTGATACAACAGAACTTCCTGCATTTGTTCTATTAGCTATTGTTTATACGGTATATACAGCATCTGGACAGGTCTGACACAATGGGTAAAATGCCCAACAATGATATTATGATTGCATTAACACTGAAACTCAGGGTGACCCCTATATATATTTTTTTTCATTTTAATAGAGGTAGTAGCTTATACAGGTTGTGAGCTAATATTTTCTATAATTTATTCTGTAAGTTTCTTAGGGCCTTAACTCTAATCCTAATTTTGCACCTTCCTCTCTTGTAACACAAAGATTTATTTAACATTTAAATACTAGTTACGCTCTTTTGTCTTTTTTTATAATATTTTTACTTATATTTTGTTATTATTTTAAAACTCTTTTTTGCTGTACTTATCCTATGTAAATCTTTTTATACAGAGGCAATAAAGTTATTATTATTATTTATAAGCCCCCCCCCCCCCGAGTACACATTTGGAGGGACATATAAAAATGCAATGGGGTGGAGTGTTAGGGTTTGGATTATGGGTGGGGTGGCCTGAGAGTCAAAGTCCTGACAGTGATCTAAAAATAATAACTATTAGTGAACCTGTGTAGAAAGAACTAGAAATGTTATCACAGTCATCAGAACAGATTTTACATGTTTTCTAGAATTGGGTTGGAAATTTCGATGTGTTCTAAGATGTAAAACATTTTGTTTTTAGTATTACCTCCTTAGTCGCTGTACATTTGATTTGACACGCCATTACACTAAGTATTGCTACATTTTACAATCACATCGTTAATCGACCACCAAAGTAACAATGTACCAATAAACAAACGTAAAATGGCCCAACACACTGCTGACTCACAAATTCGATGAACATGTGAGGTGTGTTGTGTTGCGTCACATTTGAAGGTTACATTTCCATGGCTTTGTGTAGCGATTGTTGTTGATCGGGTGATCGATGGGATTTCCTGGCAGCATTCAACTTACCTTGGGTATGCGTCAGTAAAAACTGGCTCGCCAACAAGATGAATGGTATCCAAACAGCGAATCGGAAAGTCCGTTCATATAACATGTTCGTAAATAAACAGTTTAAGCTTTTGAAAATACTCCAAAATCCTGGTAAAGAAGTAGAAATCCAAGAGAAAACCACCTGAATCAAACGTTTCGTTTCGCTTCCACTATGCTCTCAATTCTACTGTTTTCTATGACGTCAGTGTCACCTGATTAATACTTCCGGGTTGTGCAACGGACAAGGCGTGTTCGTAAAATTGCCCTCAGTGTCTTGTAAAAATATTACATTTGTTTTTTGATGAACGACACTGCCCTCTCAGCCAACACTGCATAGTTATATAATAATAATAATAATAATAATAATAATAATAATAACAACAACAACAACAACAATAATAATAATAATAATAATAATAATAATAATAATAATAAATCACACACCGTTGCACCAAACATGAATACAAATCACATTAGGAGAAAAAATAACAGTTTTCAAAATACTTTAAAAATAATATTACCATTAAAATCGAAGAACTGTCTTCTAAACAAATTAATAGTCTGAGATATAATGCATTGTAGCGGCGGTGGATGAAATATCATTAATACCTGACCGACACGGGGGAAATATTCTATGTAAAGATTTGTTTCAGTCACAAGAAACAATAAAGAAACTTATTTTAGATTTCTGATCTTCGTGATAAAAAGTAACAAACTGAACATACCAGTAATAACAAATTAAGAATATAAGCTATTCAAAAAGAATTGGAACTATACTATGATTATTAAAAAGTGATCGGCGTGGTTCTTGGAATTTCCACAGTCACATGAGAACAGAACTGACTGGTAACACCGTAGTCTGCACTTATTTGTGATCTGTTATCATTTGTTGTTGGGCTCGGCTGTCGATTAAAAATGTGCAAATAACCGAAAAATCCCTGAAAAAAGCAATTGAAAAAAATGAAACGTCCCGGAAATGACAAATAGTAATAGTCAGTGTTAATTAAATAACATTATATTCTATTTATCAGAAATTTCCGGATCAGCAGTATTATTGAGTAATGATTGATATTAAAAAAAAAACACAATGTATATTGGTCTAAATTTCAAAATTCGTGTTTCAGCGTACTAAAACTCGGCGAAATAGCATTGTGATTTGGATTGACGAATTAGAATAACCTGTCATCAGTTGTGTGTATCAGAGAGGATGCTGGGAGACGACGTGTCGAATGGTGCGCACGCATCACGACTGGAGAACCTTTAACTTACTAAATATTATATTGTTGTTTTGACGTTAATTTATAGATTGTGGTAATATTTCATATTTAGCATATAATTAAAATCAAAATTAATATAAAATTATTGTTATTCGACATTTAGCACTGTTATTTGGTACCATAATCATACTGTTTTATATTACGAATCATGTCTATTACTTTCAAAAATAACAATCCACCAAGCTAGAGAGACTCGTGGCTACTACAAAATGGCCGACGCTAGTAGACAGGAAAAGCTGGCTGCAGCTCGAAAAAAGGTATGGTTCACCGATGCCGGTTTTCAATTTTATGTTTTGTAGCTTTCCCCGGGTGAGCGGCTTTCGTGGGTGCTTGCTCGATCTACTCGCGGGAAATATCACTGCAGTACTTGTTGGAAAATAATAATCACAATACTGGCACACCTCCGGTACGGAACCCAGGGAGAGAGTGTTACCTTTAATGTTTGGGTAGCTGGCAGCTGTGCCACAACGATGCTAGATTCCTAGTTTCAGATAAATTTCGGGAATCTGGGATATTTATCCCAACAATCGCTTATTATCTTAAGCTATGCTTCAATATTTAATATTTATAATTATAATATTTATTTTAATAGACATTTAGAAGAAAGTTAGTTGATTTTTTAGTGGTTTACGTCATGCAATAGCCCCAATATTTGGTGTGTTTTAATTACTCGTATGTGAGTTTTAAAGGATACGAACATAATATTGATTCCTGCAAAATGTACTAATTGCAGAACTCTTAATTTGTCCTCTGGGGGTTGATGGTAATTTGAAAGAGCGCAAGCATGGATCCTGTGAACTGACATATTACCATGAATTTGTTGCATGTCGTTTATGTTGTCAGAGTATAGGACAAACCTATTTCTTTCATTTTTATAAATATTTATTGCAATGGCAGTTAAATCACAGACCTTAGAGATTTTCTAAGGTCTATGGTTAAATCAAACCAGTCAATCAGTGTGCACGATGCTGTCATTTGAAAATGTTCTGATGCTATTCCATTGGTAAATAGAAAACTCTTGTTTCAGATCAAATTGGGAAATTTATAAAAAAAAAATGATTAACACAATTTATCAAGGAATGAAGCTTGTGCTCTTTTAACACGTGTGATATATTATTGTCAAACTTGTACAAATGACTTTTACTGTACAACATGCGTAAATTACATTGATTGACACCTTGAGTATCTGCATGTAAGGTGTGGTGAATCTGTACATGTCTTGCATTCATACTCACTGCTTATATGTTCAACACACTTGTTACTCTCTTCCTGCCAGCCTTTCCCAGTATTGTGTGTTTGTATCTATGTGCTTGGGGATATATTCACATTTCAGTTTAATTAGACTGTACAATAACATTTACAGGTAAAAATATACTAATCAGTCAAGATAAGTCAGCAAATTATGAATAATTTAAAATCCTAAATATTCATAACTTAAACAGCAGTTGCAGTTTTTATAAGTGCGTGCAGTGATGTGTTGGCTGTTGTAATTTCTGATCGATTGTGTATTTGCTGCATGGAATGGATAGAAGTTCCTGCTTATCCAATCAAATTTGGATTTGAACGCTACAGATTACAAATTTGTAAGCTTGTATCAAATATGCTTTTGCTGACTTCAGTGTAATTTTGTTCAATACCAATTATCATTTGAAACAAATTATGATAAGTTCTGCATATTGAATGGATGTAAAGTTTGGTTGTTGCGAAAAACATCTTTCCAGCATGACAATGTTTCTGTGAAAGTTTTAAATATCCTGAAAAATTCCTGAAATGTTCATTGATAATATGATTTTTTTTGCGATTTATTTGCTAATATTTGAAAGAATTTTGAAACTATTGGTAGAATCATATTGTATTGTTATTGGTTATCGTTAATAACATTTTTGACATACATGTATCAGCTTAACTTCTGCAATAAGAAAACACATCGAATCTCAGTTGTGTACAGAATCAAGCAAATGTTCTAAAATATTAACATAGAGCAAACAAGAGAAATATTTTTGTATTGAACTAGTACTACATGTATGAGGGAATCGGAATTTAAGGGACTGACTATTTACAATGTATTGCAATTGCTCCTCCTGTAACCACCTGCATGAAAATACTATAAAAGCATTTATTTTCACTGGTATTTAATTTTACTATTTTTAGCAATTTCACTTTTAAGTTCATTTGGTAGAAAGTTTTATTGCCAATTTTCATATTGACATGGATTTAATTGCGGATTTCACTCACGAACAAAAATAGCAAAACTAAACCAGATGGAAAATTGTAATATTTTTTTTCTCAAAATTTTCCTGTTCCCCCCTACTCTTCCCTAGCTGAAGCAGTTCCAGCAACAGAAGACCTCTGGCAAAACTCCTTCCAATTCTCCGACAGCATCTAAACCCAGAAGTAGTAATAAAACCAAGAAGAACAAAAGTAATTCAAAGAAAAATACAGTGAACAATGACAGCGATCGAGCATTGTCGCCAGAAACCACCACATCTGCAACTACAAATTGTACCGAGCCTCTCCAGCCACCCGTAAGATGTTTTCTATTTTTTGATTTTTATCTTGTCTGTTGTCAAAGTTGTCATAGTCGTTAGCTTTTTTTTTTACATTCAGCAATGTGGTGGTTGCCCGGCACTGATAAGTGTGTAGTGGACATATTTATGCTGTTAACTGAATTGAACTAACATTTGTGATGCACATGGAAAAAAATGTATATGCCAGTTGTTAGGTCGTATTCCGTTTACATGTACCTGATTGTAAGCGTGTTCTATTGTGTCAGTGTTATGTCTCAGTGTGTTAATACTTTGCACAGCACACCAGTCACTATTATATAAATGTTTTACCTGGCTTACACTATAGTTCCTATTAATATTTTGTAATATGTCACTTTTCATGACCTCTAAAGGTCACACATCCTGGTGCTTTCGTAGGTATGAAATTCAAGAATAATCTATTTTATTGATATTTCAACACAATTTCCTAGACTTAACTATATTTTTCTCCAACTTGTGTAAAATGTTTCTTTTAGGAACAAAAAGACACATTAAAATGCCCCAATCATGCATGATTGTATTGTATTTCTGCCATACACAGTACCAACGAAACTACCAAGATGTGTGACCTGTAGTATGTGGGGTTCGTGAAAGTGGACTAATTTAGTGTACTATGTTAACCCATTGAGCACCAAAGTAAACTTTTGTAATCTTTCCACGATATAAACCCACATAATTTTTTCAAAAAATGTAGCTGATGGAAAATTGTATCCATTTGGTCCAAAATTATAAAAAAAATAAATATAAAAATGGTGAACAATTTATAAAATGTTGTGGAAAAATTGAAAAATTGTGGCTTTCATTGGGTTGAGGTGTTGGTATGGAAACTTGCATGCTTGATAACTAGAAGTACATGTACCGGTAATCTGCATGTAATTCGCCATGTCTGCAAAATCAACTGATGGATTTTACCAAACATGCCAGCGAGGGCTTCCAGCTGAAATGTTGGCTTCGCCTGACTTTAATACAAGACATTACACATTTTTCTAACTGAAATTTTCAGACAAATTTTGTCTAAATATGTTTTTTTTTTAAATTTAATGTGAGACAGAATTTGATTTTGATAAAAATATTTTTTTTTTAAAAATGTAAAATATTTAAACTGAAACAATTCAGTTTAACCCTTTGTGGACACTATAATTTTTCCATCTGTAATTTCTTTATTAATTTTTGACCAAGTGAACACAATTCCTCTTTGTTTCAGGTCTTGATGAATTTTTTTTTTCAATCTGGAAAAAATTATTTGGATTTATTTTGTTAACGATGACAAAAGTTAAAGTAGGCCTTTGAAGTGTTTAGATACATATACACGTATAAGCTAAAATAGCGATAAGATGCAAGGGTTGAGTTCAAACTCTATTATCATAAAAATACCCTGATTTTGTAGTACTGTGGAATACTTTATTTTCGCTGGAATTAATTTTTGCTGAAAAGGCTTTTTGGGTGTTTTGCTTGGAATTTATTTTCACTGATTTTTGATGAGTTTAATGTGAAATATAGGGAAAAAAGTATATTCGCTGGATTTTATTTTCACGGAATCAACCCTTCAGCGAAAATAAATTCTAAGCGAAAATAAATTATTCTACAGTAACCTGAATTTGTATGCTTCAATACATGTATAAATTGATGGTTCACACAGCATGTAACAATCCTTGCCATTCAAGCTTATACAGTGTATGATCTAACTTAACATAAATAACAAAAGAAATCGGTCTTGTACATGTACAATGTAGCTATAATCCTTGTTTAAGTGCTCCTACCTGTATGCCAGTCTAACACTGCCAATGTCTCAGAGTCAAACCATGTGTTGTAGGAATGTCATTGATGCTTTAGCTGTCTGAATGCCAGAACCATGATAGCCATTCTACATTTAGACTAGGTCTAAATGAGAAGCCCATCTCCAATAGAAGTGCATGTACAACTGTATGTACAAAAAATTGTATTTGTTTTGTACTGAATCATTGAAATATTACTTATTTGTACCGTAGAAACACCTCTGTAATTTATACACGTATGTACAAAATGTACAAGTGTGTATGCTACTGAGAGAAATATGGTATTCATTTTTTTTTATTTCTGGATTCGGTCAATAAAGGCAATAGAAGATGTTTGCTTATTCATTTGTTTTTTTTGCTTACAATTTTTTTTATTTATTCACAGATATCAAGCGATACATCAAGAGATGACAGTCTAAATGTTTCATCTCCATCAAATCCTGTACCAGAGAGGTATGTTAACTGATAACATAACTGGGACCGATCCCATTTTTACATTCATAATACTTCATGCTGCTTACAAGTGTTTTCTTTTGCAATCTGATACAAGATGCCTAACTGACAGCCATCTTTGTTTTTCCCAAAATAAAACATTTCTACTAAAATGATTCTGAAATCTCAGGCGTGAATGCAGATTTGACAGAACCTTTTTTGCCACCTGCACTGCACCACCTGATTGCATGTGCCCAACTAATACATGCAATCTTACAATGAAAAGTATGGATACTATGCCGCGTCATTCTTTTTTAGCTCCCTAGCCTTGATTAAACTAGATGCTGCTTCAAATATTGGACTCAGATTTTAGAAACTGTTAGTTTTTAAATATACACAATAAAAATGAAATTTGACATATCTGTATCAAACGGGTACAGGTATATAGTGCATTGTGGGACAGTTTATGTAAAATGTGCCTGGATTACAAATGGTAAAAATGTGTTCAATTGGATGCAAACTGTCAATCAATCATTTGCGTCAAATGTAATTATGATTGGGTGTATACTGAATGTAATTGTAGTAATTATTGAACAACCAGTAATTATATTTTGTCCATGGCTATATTATTGAGTTCAATTCACATGTCTGCTGTGATATTTACTGGTATCTAAAAAACATATTTTTACCTGCATTGTAACAATTTGTTTCAGGACCATTATTGTGTATAGCTAATTTTTACAGTTGAATTATTGTCATAACTTTCGATTGAGATCCTATAAAGCAGGGGTTTTTTTTAATTTCTCAGGCCAATGTCTTCGACTGAAAGCTTGCGGCAGATCTCAAGACAATTGAATGGTCTCATGTCTGAGGTATGTTGAATGCCATTAAACCATGTGGGCAGTTTGTAAGATTTCAAGCCATTTAGCCCCTAATAATAATAATAATAAAAATAAAATTTTTCTTGCTTAAATTAGAATTAATAATTCCAGTCAACATTTTCATTTGGGTGGTGGACTAAAAGTAAGGGTTATTAAGCATGTTGGATAAATCGTGAAGACAAAGAAATTGTATTTTTTTTTCTCTCTAGTACATGTATAAGTGTGTATAATAATAATAATACTAATTTTGTGTAAATAATCACTAATATGTCATAGTGACATAGTGTTGTACATTGTATAAAATTATTTATCGATAATAGAATATTTTATGTTCTGTGGTTAATATGGAAAATTACATTCCTTGTTGCTCGTTTTAGAAGTACATTTCCAATGCATGTATGCCTGAACAATATTTGCTTTGGTTTTCTTGTATTAGAAGTACCTTTGTACTGATTATTGTTGTACTACATGTAGCTATTAGGATGTTTATAATGTGCACATGTTTTTCTAATGGAGGAAGGTGCATGCATTCAGTGGGTAATAAGGTGGTCAGAAGTTGATTCCGCATTGGTGTGGAATAAGGAATACAAATTAGTTTGGGAACACCATCTGTAATTACACAAGTCACTAGTACAATATATTTAGATTACCGGTATACACTGCTAAGGAGAGATAAGTTTGTGCAATGTAGAGTTCTTGATAAATTGTTAGAATTATAATTTATTATTGGTGAAATATGCATCAAACTATGCATTCCTGTTCTACACTAATGCTGCTGATTCATCTAGTGACTACGAAAGGGTGTACCCTTGCCTAATTTTAGACCACTCTGAATCCTGATGGTATAACACATTTGAACAATATATCTCATACTATCTGAATCGCCATATAAAATTAATTAATTTGTTGAAATTATCATTAACACACACAGTTTGTGGAAGTGGATTCTCAATATATTGAGAATCAATATATAATAATTTAATACTTTTGAGAACAATTTCAGACCCCTTCACTATGCCCAAAACCACTGCAATGTTTGGACCTACTTTGATGATGTAAATGTGCACCAGAAAGGGCGAGAGTTGGTGATGGCACAATTCCATGTCATGCATGTAAGGTTACCTTAGTCTTGGGTGTTCCCTCCTTCCCTACAGGCATCATTCTTGAATAGCATGGATGATCCAGTTATTGATGAGGATGCTGGTATCAGGGAGCTTGAGGTATGTGGTAAAGCTTTGTATTTAGACCAATTAAAATACATAAAAATCCTTTATTTTAGTTGGAAGTAATTTCGCTGAAAGGACTTTTTGGGTATTTTGTATGGAATTTATTTTCACGAGTTGAGATGAGTTGAATGTAAAATATAGGAAAAAAGGTATATTCACTAGATTTTATTTTCCCTGAATCATTCCTTCAGCGAAAATTAATTTTAAGCAAAAATAAAGTATTGTACAGTAGTGTGTTTTTGATAATACTGGCAACAAAGTGGGGGTAATAAGTTGGTAGGTATAACTTTTATTTTGTAATATTTTTTTATTTTACTCAGTCTTGCAATTGTTGTCAACATACGGTTAGATAGGAGCAGTTTGCAAATGAAATGTTCATAAATACATGATGTGTTAGTACAGGCTGTAATTTTTTTGTATGAAGAATTTGTCTAACATGTTGCTAGAAACAGGAAGTGAACATCCTCCAGTAGTGACTTTTTAGATTTAGTCATGAAATTAGACAAGGTTGAGTCACCGGAAACACACTACATGTATATATTAATTTGCATAAATTAGGCAATTTTGTTATTTCATTATCTTTTCAGATTTAAAAAAAATGTATGCATAGGTAATTTGGGGTACTATACCCCAGAAGTATGTGCATATTAATTACCTAATTTACATAAACTAGGCAATTTTCTGACATCTCAATAACTAATTAACAGATTTAAATAAACTTGGTACATACTGTAGGTTGTCTGGGATATCCCACAGACTGTGACCCACTCATGTACAATCAAATGGAAATCTACTGCTATATATTTTTGGAGGATTATGAACCTCAACTCTGTGCGAACCAGACTGTTTTTATATTGTGCATCTCAAAATAGCTGTATAGCAAACAGGTTCTTGTTGAAAAGGCTGATTCTAAATTTGTAATACAATTCACGCCTCCAATACTCTTCAATTTAAATTTCAATGCCCCCATTACCCTCAGTACATGGAAGTTCTTTCTAAGCTTTCTTGTTTCTTTGTTATTAGGTACAAAATGATCATAATTTCTGCATTAACAGGTGGTATTATTCAAAACATTTCAAAAAATAGCAAAACATTTATGCAAAAATTAGTTATTGCAGTATAACTCTGCTTTGTCTCTAATAATGCACTAACCATTACCCCAGACCATTCGTCCCGGTGTTATCGCTATCGCCACACGAGACTCCAGCTTGTCTCCTATACAATTTTCCTTCCGCCCACTTAATTTTAATATTCATATGACCTTTGCACTGACATCGATAGCCAATCGCATTCGACCGCGGACGTCACTCTAAATAAACAACTGAATAAATTAATATACCATATTTGGAAGATAGCGGGTAAATTCAACGTTGTTGGTGTGTTGCTTCGGGTTCCGAAGTCGCACGAAACGAGTTCATGTTCCGTTATCTTTCGCAAGTAAATAGGTCGATATGTATTAAACATGGCATTTGTTTCTTGTTTTA